CCTCTCATGATTTTTACACCATCTTCAGATATAGGCAAAGCAAAATGGTTAGATGCTGAAACCAAGTTGCGAAGATTAACCAATTCTGAAATTACTTTACAAAGATGGTATGTATATAGTCTACACTTGGAGTCTTAACATCTTTGTTTTTATCTTAATTTTGATTATTAATGTGAATAATCACCTCACAAATTTCTATGGCTGTCGTAATTCTGTCTCAGATTTTGTGATATATATATAAAAAAATAAAAAAATTTATATATTTATAAAAAAATTTATATGTAATGAAATGAAAACAAATTTGCATGTTTGTAATATATATTTTATAAATTTATATTACCTATCTATATAACAAGACACATCCAGATATATGTAGATATTATACATAAAATACAATATCTAGATGTATAAATTATAAATTATATGTATATGTATTATATATTATATAATATATAGACGGATTATAAATAAATGTAGGTATAGAAAAATAATACAGCATATATATAGAATATATACATATATAATATAAATGCATATTATATAATACATATATATATGCGTGTGTGGGTACAGCAGGCATAATTTAAAACATGAAAATATTCTGTTTATATTTATTTAGAACCATATTTATGTATTTATGCATAAAGTACTTATCTTTAAGTACTATATAAATTGAAATTCTTTCACAGAATTCTTTTGTGCAGATAAATGATAAACAATTTCATTTTAAAAACAAGTACTTCAATAGAGATAATTTCTGATATTTACCACAATGATGTTTGATATTTGCTTTAGAAAGGAAAGTATAGTATTTGGATCTCCTATTCTAAAGTATATTTTTAGTCCCAGTAGCCAGCCTTTGATAATTCCATCTTTAAATTATGCTATTTGCATATTTAAGAACAGTCCAGTTAGAGGTCTTTGAAATAATGTAAGCTTGAATTCTCTGAGTCTACACTGTTTCATGAACTGCTTAAGGCCAATTCCAAGTGAAAGACTCCCAACTGTTACTACTTTGCTGGAAGAAGCAAAGGAGAAAAGAATGTCTTAAATTAATTTTGCAGACCATACTTAGTCCAGATTTTCTTTTTTTTCGTATCCTTTTCTGCCTTTCAGTATTGAGGTTCTTGAAACAAGGCCTTGAGCTATCCATAGCTAAGCAATTCATTACCAAAAGGCTTTTTTTTTGTAAAAAGTTTGCATTATGGTTCAAGGAAAAGGAAAGGATGAAACTGGGATTTCTCTTTTGTAATGCTGTATCATTGAAAAAGGAACAAACACAGGCTTTTTAAACATTAAAAAATTAGGTTAAAAAATGCCTAACCATCTTTACTTGAAGAGCTTTTAGCTTCCAAGTTGCAATGCCTGTAGGTAAAAATGAATTTTAGTTCCAGTGCTTTGCCTCAAGACTCCCTCCTTAATCTAACTGTAGTGGGGCTTTTCTATCTCTCTGGGCCTTGACATTGCATATCTGCTCTTATTCCTATATCACCCAGTTTTACCAAAACTCTCACTAGATGGATTTAGGAGGAATCCCTCCCTTCCATATCTTATCACTCTGGTCTTCTCCTCATAAGAATCAGTTGGTTTAGTTAAAAGAAAAATTCCCCTTAGCTGTGGTATTTTCTCTTATGATTCCATCTACCAATCCCATATTTTTCCTTGTGATATTTGGAATTGAGGCCAATTCTATATTGAGTTCTCTTTATACTCTACTAAAATGCATCCTGAGTAAATTCTTCTTTTACAACTCTAACTATTGTCCAGTTTTGTTTTCTCATTGACAATCTCCATTTAATCTTTGCGATTTTCCTTATACAAAACTTGGTTGCAATAAAATGTAGGTAATTTTGATCTGTATTTCCTACAAATGAAATACCAAATATTTATAAATCTTTACTCGTTGTGTAGCATTTCAATAATATAGTTCAAAAATATATTTTTATTTAATACAATTGCATCTATTTTTCTTTGATTATTTGCTTGTATTTAAAAATCATACTAGTGTGCAACACATATTTATAACCTGCTTTACATTCTGCTTCATTTTATTGTTTTTTGAACTGAATTCCAGAAAAAGGATGGGGAAGTTTTTTTTTTTTTTCTCACATGCTTTGTGCATATGTACTGCTTTATTTTTGTAAATGTAACAGAAATGTGCAGTCAATGTTTTAGCCCTTTGGATACTCATCAGGCACCGATTGTTCACAGAAGTGAACTGGGTAGCCAGAATTTGAACTGCCTTGAAATCATTAGATGATTGGCTTTGCCTTGAGTTTCATGTCTCCCTAAAAAATCTTTCTGAAGGACCCATTCTATTCTCTTCCTCTGGTACTGATCAAGGAACACAAAAATAGAAGCCTCATTGAGTGTAGTGTTGATTTTGAGACTAGGCATTGTTTAAAAAGAGAATGCTAGGAAACTGCTCTAAAGTACAAACATCCATCCACACACAAGAGACAATGCCAATTGTTTTGCCTCAAAGTCCAGAGCCTTTAAAAAGTTCTTTTTCCAATGAGTAAATTCTCAAGAGAAATTGCTGAAGTTATTTCTCTAAATGATAAGCATGTGGATGTTACTTAACAAAGCAAATAAAACTATATATGAGTAACATCTGATTTGGGCTTTGTGACACTAACAGTAAATTATCAATAACACAAATAACACAAATATCCATGTAACCAGTCAAAGCTACAAATAGGATCAACAACTCCAACTTTAAAAACCTTATGGTTATAATATGGATATTTTTTATTTCTTTAAATATACTCTGAGCACATGCTCTGTGATCACTGGAGGTAGATATGAGAAGAGAATTCTTAAGTAAAACTGGATAAAGTTAAATGTATCTACTTTCCTCTTTAAAATATACTTTAGCATTGTGAATTCACAGAAATCATGGATCAACTACTTATTGTAATTTGGGTCTTGTATTTCTATTGGGGGGGCTTTGAAGAATAACGTTTATATGAAAATACTATTAGATGTGATTTCCCCCCTCAGTTTTAATATTTGTATTTAAATAAGAACATTATTTTTTCTATAAATTAATACTTATTATTCATATCAATGCTACTTTAAATATAGCTTCTTGTCAGTGCCATCCTTTTAAACAAGGAGAAAAAAGTTCCAACCGCTCCAACCTTGGAACCATACACAGAGAAGTATACACTTGTGGCCCAACAAATGATACCATGTTGTTTTTGCTGGGTTGGTGAGGCGAAATAGCGAGGGTCCTATAAGTTAATAAATATTACTCCTTACACAGGTGCTGCAAATCAGATATTCCCCAGAGGAGGAATATTTACAGTCCTCATATATCATTTAAATATTTAAATCTCACAGTATGATAAAAAGCTCGTTTCTAAGTAAAATTCCAGGGTCATTCTGGATTGTGAGCCCAATCTCACTGGTTAGGTCTTCAGTGGAGACTGACAACAAATGTAGCATATAAAGTCACCTTTTCATAAGTTTTAACCAAAGAGGTTTCTGTTATTCTGGTGTTTCTGACTGTGCTTGCTGTTATTTTTGTTGAGTACCCACTTAGGTGGCAGCTCTAAAACACTCAACTCTGGAACCAAGTTCCAAATTATAAAAACATTTGATTCAATGATAGCCTCACTCTAACTTTAAGAAAGATGTGGATCTTAGGTAGAGTTTAACGATGTCTAAACTTATGGTGATACACACATGTAAATTGTAATTATAAAGCTATAAATTCACTCTTAAGATGTGCACTTTGCCAGTTATCTGGATTTGCTTTCTGCAATTTAATAAGTAAGAGGACATACAAGTTTTGAAACTGTATAGATAGGAAAGATGGGTGTAAATAAAGTAGGGAAGGAAATAATCTGAGCAGACATTTGGTTAGATGCTTTGTTTCAGCAAAAGAACTTTGTGGTTAACTTCTATTAGGTATCATATCCTTCCTCTTTCTGAAGAATTTTTAAAGAGTAGTACAAATCTTGGTAGTTCTATAGCTTTTTATATATCTGAGAACCCCCACCCCTACATTTGGGTCTCCTCCATGAGGTATACACTAGCCCCAGTTCCTTTTGCATTATTAAAAACAACGCTTAAATGACCAATGAACTCTAGCCAAATGTCAGACTGTCCAACCTCTTAATTACTGGGTTAAATGAAAATTCCCCAGAATTGCCTATCACTGAAATGGGACTTTTCAATAAATCAACTAACTTGCTTGCAAGTCTCTTTAAAGTATTTAAGAATAGTAGGATGAAATTTTTGTGGTGGCTCCCATTCTATCAGAGACAGATAATTTATAAAGCAGCACTTATGAAGTTTATTAGATTGTCACAGATCATTTGAACAGCAAAGAAATAGGGAAAACGTGGATGTCCAAGCCTGACCAGTTTTTCAGTTTTTTTCGTCTCAAATATCCTGTAAAACATAACCAAAACTATTTGTAGAAAATTAAATGACAAATCTTGAATTGTAAGGTGGGTTCATAATTTTGTTTTGAGAAATTCTAAGGATTTTGAAGAATCCCTCAGTTCCAACTTGAAGAGAAGGAAAGTGAGCCAAGAGTGGCAGCCCCATTTCATTCAACCAAAAAACTCCAGTCTTTTGTACATTGAGTTGCAGCTGCTTTGAATTTCTGCTGCCTGTTTTTGAAGTGAGAGGGGTGGGAGGGAGGGAAGGAATGAGCTCCATGGTAAGAAGCAATTTTCTAGAATACACTGATATCATTAGAAGTTTAAATTAGCTGGCATTCTTTGTTCTAATGTCTAATTCATCTTATTTTGTATATCTTTGATGTTTGTACTCTTCCAAGAGTCAAAGCTTGACATCTAAAAATAATTTTTAAGGAATCAATTTATTATGAATCCTTGGATGATAAATGAAGCCATACTGCCGCATCTTAGGACTATTTTGAACCACAGACATCGGAAGAGTTAATCACTTGGCAGAAAATCTGTCCAATCATGTTTTTAAACTAACATTAACTCAAAAATGTTAATATGGTATTCTATTTTTAGAAGATGTTCCACTGAAAAAAGCTGAATTGGAGAGGGAACATGAAACTAAATCACCAAATAAAGAAACGAATCTTATATTCCCTAAGGTAAAAAAAATATATATATATATATGTGTGTGTGTGTGTGTGTGTGTGTGTGTTTAAAATTAATAAGAGAAACAAAACTTTATTTCCTATTTACTAATTTTCTAATTTTTAATATATGTTTGTACAAAAATATCTTTACTTATATTAGAGATGATTTCTCTAATACCCCTGCCTTTTAGAAAGTTCATCTTCCTAAAATGAGAGATGGGGAAGAAAGACACTCAGCAACCTTTTTTTTATCTAATCAAGACTTTCTACCAGAGCCAGTTTTCCTACAGTATGTCATGTTTCACTCTAGTGAATGTCTTCTCTTCACTGCTTATGAAAGTGATAGATATGAGAAATCTGGAAAATACAGAAAGGAATATAGAATAAAATGAAAGCACATAAATTTCAGCCCTTGCTAAGATTTTAGTTCATTTCCTTATTTCTAAGTCATTTTACTATGCACATGTGTTGTTCAGACACATGTGTGGACATTCCTAAAATAAATTAAGGATTCATTCCTAAAATAATACTTCTCAGAGCAGAAATACTTTACAGGAGGAGAGCAACCACAACCATACATCAATGCTTCAATGTAATACTGACTAGTGTCTTTACTCCTCATGAACAAGAGGGGGCTTAACGACAGAGATTTGCAAAGTGACATAGTAGCTTGTGCTTGCAGATAAAATCTGTGTCCATCCTTTAAAGTGGTTCCTATTATTTTTAATAATCCAGTGGGCTTGACACAGAAGGCTTGACATAACTATCAAGTAGATTATTGCTTGGGGGAGTTAGGGTAGCTGTTAAACTTCTTTTTGTTTTATTATTATTATTATTATTATTATTATTATTATTTTTATGCTTTTTGAGACATACTTAGTGATGTTTTTTCTTTTTTTTCTATTAAACTTCTTAGGGAACACTTAGGAATCACTTCAGGAAGCCAAAAAAAAAACACAAAACAACAACAAAAAAAAAAACCAAAAAACAAAGACAAAGAAATTACCTGAGAAAATTGTTCAAGGTCACAAAACAAATTTGAATCTGGAACCCAGGTACCCTAAAACAAAAAATGTGTTCTGTATACTTTATTATTACAATTCTACTTAATTGCATTAATCACAGAAAAAAGACTCTCAATATAAGGTTGGTCTGTTTATGTAATAAATTAAATAGGACTAAATTAACATAAGCTCACTTTAAAAAATAAATTTAACAAGTATAATATTCTCCGAGCTTGTGAATTACCTCAGGAAAAGCAAACCAATATAATTTTCTGTCTTCACAATGGAGTTCCAATAGCATAGATTCTTCAAGTGGTGTTATATAACTGTGGAAAACAAAACAGAATTTCCTTACTTTTATTTAGCTTTTATTACGAGCACCGATATTGAATAATCATAAGTGTCAGCAAAGCCTTTATTTTGTCTCCTGTGTACCAAAATCAAAATGAAGAATGGTTTTGCAAAACAGAACATTTCTGTCAAAAAATTGCTGTACACAGGTGGTTATTCTGCTTCATTTCTTATTTGCCTGATAAATCCTGTTTGACAGTTCTCTGTACTCAGACTAAATTAGAAATGTTTGCTTTCTTCCATCCATTATTTATATGATGTATGATCTAGCAATATTGTGTCTTTTGTTTCCCCTTCCCAGATATAGGTTTCAACTAAAACTCAGTTTTAAACTAGAAAAACTTTATATTTTTGCTATGTTTTGAAAAGACCAAATTAAAAGCTACTTTTTTCTGGTTAATATTTTAAATGAAAGTAGCCCCACAAGAGACATATTAAAATGAAAAAGCAAAAGGAAAAACTGAGGGGGAAAAAAAAGAAAAGAAAAAAGAAACATAAATAGGCCTGGGAGCCACCATACATGTATGTTCATGAGGAATAAAGACACTAGCCAGTATGACATTGAAGCATTCATGGAGCTACCATACATGTATGGATAACCACCTTGTCCATTTCCAAAAATGATGAACATAATATTTTTATAACCATCCTCCAACCAAATTAAAACATTTTCTGCAGCAATCCAAATACCCATAAGATAATACCATGTTTTATGTAGTCTCTTGAGGATTCTGCTTTGTCTTTGCCAAGGAGTAGATTGGTAACTCCATGAAAAGGACAATTAAACACTTTACTACAATATTTCTCTCTTTAGTAGAATAACAAATGTTGTATTAGTTAGTTTTTTATGACTGTAACAATATACCTTAGATAATCAACTTAAAAATAGGAACAATTTATTTTGGCACAGAGTTGCTTTTGGTCGTGTAGCTCGGCAATGCATCATGGCAGAAGCATGTGGTACAGGAAGCTGCTCATCTCATGGAGACCAGGAAGCACAGGAGAGAGGAAGAGATCCACCTCCCATCATCCCCTTCAAAGGCGTGGCTTTAGCAGCAAAATTTCTTTCCACTAGGCCTCACCTCCTAAAGATTCAGCCACCTTCTGTTAGCACCAGAGGCTCTGAGCCAGAGTAGTCTGGGTTTAGAATGTCCCCAGAGACCTATGTGTTGAAAGCTATTTGGAAGTGGTTGAAATTTTAAGAGGTAGATGTAGTGAGATTTCTGTAGTCATTGGGGTCGCTCTCTCAAAAGGAATTGTGAAAACTCAATCACTTCCACCATCTCTCTTTGATTCCCAGCAGAGGTAAGCAGATTTTTCAGCCATGCACTTCTGCCATGATGTGCTCAAAAGCAACAGGAGCAACTAACCATATGCTGAAATCTCCCAAATTGTAAACCTGTTTTTAAGCTGATTACTTCACCGTATTTTGTTATAGCAACAGAAAGCTGCCTCACACAGATCTTGAGTAAATTCACCAAATAGGAGACAATTCATGGTACTTCCACTTGGGTCCTGTTACCTGATGCACTCTGGTTTCACATCCTTTGACACCTGTTTCCCACTTATTAGACTTTCCTATGTCACCCAGTCTACTTTAAGTTCATCCAATGAATCTTCCCTCTGTGCCTAAGAATTCTAGATGTATTCTTTGTATTATTATAAAGAATACTAAAAATACTATCATAAAGTACTGAATTATTTTATGAATAAAATATTTAAGAGGAAGTGTTAAATATTGCCACCACAAAAAATAATTTTCTAAACAATATATCATAGGTAAAACTTTACATTAAACTATTTTCAGTACCTCAAGAATAAATTTAATTTCATTTTAAAAAGGAAATAATGTTTTTTCATAACAAATAACTCATTCCAACTAACTTCCAACTATTTAAGAGTAGAGGAAAGAGGATAGAGACAGCTGTCAGCAGCATCCAAGTTAATCCTGTCTTGAAAAGAATAGACTTTTTAGTGTTCACTGATCACTTACTTCTCAAAAACTATGATTAAACAAAAACATAGAATATAGCATATAGAAAAAGGACATAAGAGTTTTTTGTTGTTTTTGTTTTTGTTTTGGTACCAGGGATTGAAATCCAGGCCACTTTACCACTGAGCTACATCCCCAACCTCCTCCTTAAAAAAAAAAAAAAAAAGAAAGAAAAAAGAAAAGAAAAAAAAATTTAAATTAGAGACAGGATCTTTACTAAGTTGCTTAGGGCCTTGCTACATTGCTGAGGCTGGTTTGAACTTGTGATCCTTCTACCTCAGCCTCCCTAGCCGCTGGTGGCATATGCCACCATACCCATCCCTAAGGATTTCTAAATTGGAAAGCAGTTGCAATCTGTCGCCATCTAGCTTTGGCTTTGATATTTTCAGAGCAGTTATAAACCAAACTTTTCTCTTTTTTAAATTTTTTTTTTATTGGTTGTTCAAAACATTACAAAGCTCTTGACATATCATATTTCATACATTAGATTCAAGTGGGTTATGAACTCCCATTTTTACCCCAAATACAGATTGCAGAATCACATCGGTTACACATCCACATTTTTACATAATGCCATATTAGTGATTGTTGTATTCTTCTACCTTTCCTATCCTCAACTATCCCCCCTCCCCTCCCCTCCCATCTTCTCTCTCTACCCCATCTACTGTAATTCATTTCTCTCCTTGATAAAACAAACTTTTCATCAAAGAGGAAAAGAGTTATCAATGATTAGGACTGTCACTGTTAAAGTAATGTTAGCATCAATTACACATCTTTTAAATGATGAGAAGAATAACAAAACATAATTCTTAGTTGGATAAATTCTGACATAATTATCCCTCAATGTAACATTGTGTTGAGACCAAACAAAATGAAAATATATTTAATCTTAACAGTAGTTAGCAAGGGATATATATATCCCTTGCCAACTACTAATTAAAAGATATATATATATATACATATATATATGTCTACTAATATATATAATTATATATATAATTAAAGGATATATATATGTCTACTAATTAAAGTATATATATATATATATATATATATATATACTTTAATTTCTGCTCCTTGTTACTGTTACTTTCTTCTCATTTCTGACGCCCAGTCCAACTACTGCTTAGAGAAATGGGGACACTTAGTTGTAGTCATTGGAAGCATTTTCCCCTCTGTTATCTGGAGGGTTGTGTAAAGTTATGATCAAAATATGTGAAATTACATACGCACTTCCAAGTGCGAATGATGGAAAGCTTCATGAAGACTTAGAAATTTTGCACACTTTTGATTTTTCTTTTCCTAAGTGTCGATGTTTTTCATATCTGCTTGCCACCATGGAGGATGGTTTAATAAAACATATCAGTTTTCTTTGTTTTCTAAACCACTGGTGGTTTTTTTTTTCTGTTTGAGTGTTCAATCATTTAAAATATAACTTTCGTTATATACAAATTATAGCATTTAATAGAGCACATCATATAATTTTATGAGTACCTGGAGTTATTTAGATCATGCTTTGCACTTTGCAAATAATGATAGGGATTTATATTTATAATACTTTATATCTAATAATAAAAAAGTTTATTTCCTCCCACAATCTGTTTTTAAAACATTCCCATTGCTCCCTCACATGAATTTTTAAAACTGCACAAAGTTTACATCTA